GATTCTCTCTGTAAGTAGACTTCGCAGTTTAAATACCTCTCATCCTCATGAAGTATTCAGAATAATTCCAAAACTACGTTCCGGCCGGAAGTAGTAAGTTGAAGTTAAGAATTTGATAGGAAATGAACTTTAACTTAAAATTTAACTGTTAATAAAATTAACATAATCCTTGCAACTTGTTAAAAACTTAGCGGTCGACTTGCGCATCAAAAAAGAGGGTTAAATTTGCTCTTAATAATAATATGTACGACGCCGCCTAAAAAAATAGAAACAGACGGGAAGTGCTTAACACTTAGCCTAACTTATCAGCAGTTTCGAACCACAACGCATTCATAGCTTTGAGTCCATCCGGTCCCCAAAGGGCCTCTCATACAGACTTTCTGGAATATACTTCTGCAATAACTCCGGTGTCCATTGCCGACAAACGTTATTCTAGAGTAGAAATGCTGAAAAGAAATGCTGAAATTCTAGAGCAGAAAACATCTCTCTCCCAAACAACATATTCACATGCATTTCGTCGCTTGTAGATTTAGCTCGTTTGCAAAAGCCAAGATTCGCTTTTCCTTTTCTTTCCATTCTAACCCCCCTCATTCCTTTGTTCCCTGACTTCCCTCGACAGTTAGAGAGCCAAGGAAAGTAATAAAAACTGAAGAAATCATTTTATAATTTTGTAACTAAAAGAAGCGATTTTTTTTTTCTTTTCTTTTCTTTTTTTTTTTTTTTTTTTTTATTCGATGGAGATGTAAAATTTTACTGAAAAAGATTACATAATTTTTCCATCTACTTTGACCGTTCTGCTGTTTTCATTAAAATTAACGCTAAATTAAAGTTGATGCATATTTATATATTTTTCTATCTGTACATGAACCCACACTAAAACTGATTTGCAATTTTAGTAATTCGCACTATTAGTTTAAAAAAATTGTCTTTCAATAAAATTACGAAGGTTAAATATTCTGTTAGCGATCTAATAACTTGCCATTTAAAAAATGGCAAATGTTACGATTTGGCAAAATGTTAAGATGCTATTTTATCTATAGCTGAAATTTTTCAATAAATTCGGCATACAAAGTATTTCAAAAAGAACTACATCACGAAATATTTCTTCTCTTGTTAGTCGTACATTTATATTTTCAGTTTAAGAAATTAATCAAATGCAGTTTAAGAAATTAATCAAAAGGCTTTCAGACAATTTTGACAACGGGATACCAATCACTAAAAATATAAGAAATTTAAAATGCTGTACTGATCTTTATCAAAAGAAAAAAAATAAACGCTTCATATGCAAAGCTTCTGTTTGCTTTATTAACATTATTTTAGAAAAAAGATTTGGCATGCAATGTGTGACCTGAAAAAATTGTCATTATTATATAATTTAAGCTTCTTTCATCTGCCAAAAAAGCATCGATTTTAGGGATCATGCAAAATTTAATTTTATTAAACACCATATTTCGAATTTTAGTTGTTCTACAATTGGTAGTTTGAAGCCAATGAATCCAAATTGTTTTCCTACTGTTAAGCCTATTTTTAGAGGCTTGGTTTCGAAAACTTAACTTGTATATAGTTGTCTTTAAAAATGTTTGTATACATTTCTCAAAAGTTTTAATTAACAATATATCAGGTAATTTGATTAAGGACTTTTCCAATTCTTTTTTATAGCCTAATGCATTATCTTAACTGATTCGTTTCTTAAACTGAGACATGGTCTATGACCAGCTATGTCTCAGTTTATGTCCAGATCAAGATTCAAGATATATTTATTCGAGATCTCTTCTTAAATTATTCGTATATACCACGCAGTTTGATCCAGAAGCATCCCCCACACACATTCAGGTACTAGTACACTAGGAATATGTAGCTCTTCAGTAATTCTGTGGGTATACCACTCAACGCAACTAGTTTTGCTCTAGATTTTGTTTCTGCCGGAAAAACCTCTGTTGGATGATTTTCCTAACAGAGACAGAACTTTCTGGAAAGTATAACCTAAATATCAGCGAATTACCATTAGAAAATTTCCCATGAAAGTACTCTGTCTCGAGCGGCCACTTAAATAGGGTGTGGGGTTCAATAACCTTCCTGTGTACCACCAACTATCTTAACTAGTATATTAGAGTTAGTGAATTCGTTACATGAAACTTCCGGGAGCATTAACAAATAAATATTCTTGGGAGAATCCAGTGTATATAAATAACTACATCATTGCCTACATGCACTATTCTCCTGAATAATGAGTGCAGTGACCGACATGTTAATTGACCTGTTAATTATGTATGTAATTATACTCAGAAGGTATAATCTGCTAAAATACGGTTAGTTTCCTGAAGGCTGACATCCTTTCAGGTTTTAACTAATTACAGCAAACAACAGCCGAGTAGTTCTCAAAATTAAAGCGACCATTGTTTACTGGCATAAATCCACCAAAAATTAATATGAGAGTTAAAATCACTTATTACATTTCAAGTTTCCAACGGTTATCCAAAGCCGTGTATTTAGTCAAAGTTTCCCTGTCTATGGTGTCCTTGTCCATGGAGTATTTTACGTGTAACCTATGTAGATGGAAAAATTAAGTGAAATATGCATAACAGAATCTTCCACAATTTCAGCAACAACTTTGCCCCAACAACCCGATCAATTTGTTTTTTTTTACAGACATTATTTTTATAGTAATTTCTCTGTCTTTACAGAGACGTAGTGCAAACATACATTCTGTAATTGTTTCTTTTTATTTGCTTGTGTAATTTTATGAAAATATTTTTTACAATATTCCAAAATATTAATCAGATGCGGAGGGACATATTCAATCACTTTTGAAACTTGGGAATTAAGCCCCCAAGTGAAATTTTGGTGACTTAATTTAATTGGAGTTTTGAAGGCTTAGCTTTTAATTAAAGGGGGGAAAAGTATCTAACCTTTCAATTTTGTTGAGATTTTAAACTTAAACACCACAATCTCCATTAAAATAGTATATGGTTAGCATCAAGAATACAGTATATAAAATAAAATGTATCTTCAATTTTTACCTTATTTAACATTTAGCCATACATTTGAGTTGTTTTATAACGCTGTAATGTTTCTAACTTCTTTGTCTTTGCTTAACTTAGTAGAAACCTTGTTGAACTATGTAGCGACCTATCGCTGATTCTAAGTGTGTAAATGAAGAGAATGATTAAACTCACTCTTTATTATCTCAAACTAAGAACACATGACCCCTTTCTCAAGCTTACAGAAAAGCCATCACTTGGACTTCAAATTAAGATAAGAAAATAAAAAACTAATCTAATAATAAACTAAACTCAACTTGCTCGAAGCTGTACACAGTTATCTAATGTAATTGGTTCTTAATTAAATTAACCAGCGAATATCAACAAGTACGTTAAAGACGGCCGAGCGTAGTTAGCTTTAAACAACGAAGCAGCCTGATGGCAAACACCCACCACAAAAGACTCCTAAGCTCTTCTGCTGAAGTACTGTGAATCCTTGGTGGGTGGTTAGGCTTTCAGCTACTAAGACTTTTAACCTATCATTACTGAAGTAAGCGAAACCTTCCTTTAAGTACTCTGTAAAGATTATGTTAATTTTATAAACAGTTAAATTTTAAGTTCCTTTCCTGTCAAATTCTTAACTTCAACTTACTACTTCCGGCTAGAACGTAGTTTTGGAATCTTGCTGAAGATTTAATGTGAGGAGCGTATTTAAACCATGAAGTTACTTACAGAGTCGAGAGAATCAGAGTTTCTGATTTACGTGCGTCTGCCTTTTGGCCACTCTCTCTCTCTCAAAGCTGTTATTCGCTCGGCCGTACTCAGGCCCTTGCTAGCTTGTAGTCAATAAGTTAAGGGGCCAACCAATTTGAATCTGATAGCTTCGGCTATATTTCTTTAGTTAATCTTAGTTTTAGTTTAATTCTTAGTCTCTTAAGTTCAAGCCCGAGTGTCGGTTTTGTTTGTACACTCCCAGGCGGAGTTTTGTTAAATCTTATTGGAATAATAAAGGGTTAGATACCCTTCTATCTTGTTGTTTCTTGTCACCCGAACTTGAGTGATTATTCGCTTATCAGTTCTTAAGATTCTTCACTTCCAACATTAACTTAGAATTACAAAGTGAGGAACTCTATAACTTTTTCTACCTTATTTACATGCAAAGTGATATTAAAAACTTATTCTGCTAGGGAATAAAGTAACCTCTACAGTGCTTAACATTTATCTAGAAATGTGAACGATTTAATTGCATATTCTTCTTTCTACGTCTCTTATAGATGAAAAGCACAGTCTTCGTCCTTTCTGAACAAATTTTTTAACTGATGAAGAAGAGAAATTTTTTCTTTTGCCTTTTAAAACGTCCGAAGTTATTTATTATCAATAATGATCAAAATTTCTCTGTTTATAGAACGCAACAAATGTTTATAAGGGAGTATTTCCTGTGTAATCAATGTAGATGGAAAAATTAAGTGAAATACGCATAATAGGAATCTTGCACAGTTTCATCGATAAATGCATTTGTTCACATTCTTTTTTTTACCGTTTTACGGTTACAAACTGAAGATTAATTAACCCTAAGATATCATAATGACGAAATTAAATGAGTGAAGAAATAGAAGGAATAGCAGAAAACGATCGAGGTGAATAAAATCAGTCAGTGATATATAGCGCTGGAATACGGTGTGTACTGCTTGGACGGCAGCCCATAGTTTTGGACTTAATGAAGAGCCGACTTTGATGCATATAAAAAAAAACCTACGGAATTTCAGATAAGTGAATAACTAAACTACTTTTAATGCTATTTTATTGATGAGCATTACTGACCGCCTCTGACTAGGGCGCGAAAATATCTTCATCCAGCCTCGACAACTCCAGGCTAAAGGCGAATCTCAATCTCTTACTATACGTAAGATTGAATATATTAGATTACTGTAAGAGGATTGTAACATTAACTACTAGATCACTGAAAAAAGTTTATGATCGCCAACTGAGCGGAAATTCACAAAATCATTAAAGTCTTACCTTGAGAAGGGTCTTGTGATGGATATGTATTTATGCACGGAAATGTACATTAGGGTGTGTATGGAACAGATGAGAAAGAGAGCCATTGTGAAACCGTTTAATTTACACAAGGTGTCCCCAAACACCCATCGTCCTTCGATGACAGTAGTCAAAGATACTGGCATATCTAGCACTGCCACCAAAATATCAGCAACTGCTAGGTTCACAATAAACATATTGGTCCTAGTGCGCATTCCTCTGTGACGCACAATGGTCATGATGACCATCACATTGCCACCGACAGCTAGCACGATAATGATGATAATGAGAATGGCCAAGGGTACCACAACAGGATACCCGTAGAAGAGGTAGTTTTCATCAAGCGGATGAGTTATGTTGTCATCAAGATCAGGCAGCTCGAACTCGATCGTAAGAGGTAGATCATCATGGATGCCTGTGCTGTTGTTGGCTGACATCGTGGACAAATATCAGTTCCAGGGAAGCTGCAATAGATAGAAAAATACCTTTTTTCAAACGACTTAAAAATAAAATACTTTTCAACATAAAATTTATCAGCTATCGTAGATATCATATGAAAACTATCACAGACTTTATGTATATTTCCTAAATTTTATTTTACGATGTTAAAGAAACTGCTTTAGTTAAAAAGCAGCTGCTTTAGTTAGAATATTAAGATCTGATGTTAAAGAAGCTGCTTTAGTTTACGATGTTAAAGAAGCTTCTTTAGTTTGCTCTTAAAGTTATTTATCAAGTAAAATTTTATTCCCTTTATTAATACCAGGTCGATCCGAAAAAGAGAGAAGGCAATTAATTTCAAAATCTCTTCTAAACACGTCTATTCAGAACTACCATCCAGATTATGAAAAATGGAGTCAAAGGACAAATGTAAATTTTCTTTCTTACTGATTGTTCCAAAATTTTTGTTTTCGACACTGAATACTATTTTATGGCTCTTCGTGTTAATGAAGTATCATTAATCAATTATTTTTTCTTTCTACTTTGAGGTAACAACGCTTGTTAGGTTTATTTCTTAAGATGGTCTCTTGGTTAAATTTTTCTCGTGTTTTCATTATTTTCTGAATCAATAGATTATTGGCATTATAGCATAATAAGCATAATATATGCAACGTAAAAGACTGAATGGTACTCACGTTCATTGCAAAGTTTTGTCATATCTAAGGTAGCCAAGTTAGTTTAAAAAACGCAACGGTTAGAAACCGCTCCAACGCTTCTAGAAATTTCAGTTAAACTGTGCTTTCGTTTTTTCCCAGCCTCAGTTGCAGAAGTCAAATGCAATAGTTTTGATTCATTGAAGAGAATTACCTGAAACAATATTGTAAAGCTAAGCGTTACATATTTCTCCCAAATAATCATTCCTGAAGATCTAGAGTCTTCTGGACACAAACTTTTCTCTGTATGATAGCAGTCATAAACCAATCAACGATTTATGATGCGGTAATTTGACGTTATTCCATCAGACGCTAAATAAAATAACCAAGAAGAAAACTTCAAGGAAAATAAACAAACTCAGTATTTTTTTTTATTATTATTATTTTTTCTATTTAGGATAGTATAAAAATTACTGACCATAGAACAGCTTTTATTTATCTTTTATAGACGAAAGATACCCATTAGATCTCTCTCGCAGTAAAAAATATATTAATTCATAAAAAGAAATTTGATGATGGGTAAAAATAAATATGGTATCTATTTCATAGCGTCAAGATTGCCAATGAATGATAATATTTCAAAGCTTGTTAAATTATAGGTTTCCTAGAACTCAAATGGCAATGTATAATTTGGGACATCTTTAAATCTGTTCATTTTCAGTCTTCGCATAACCTTCATTGCAGGTTAGTATATGAGTCAGGATTTAAGATAAGTGAAAGCCTGAACTAAACAGTTTTTGATTTCTCTTCTACAGGTATGCTTATAAAGTAAATTAATTCCGGGTTTGTTAAAATTGGGTTTTTATTATTAAAATATTTAAAGTATTGCAACTGTTAAGAAAATACTTTATTCTGCAAAAGAGTCATATATTTTAGTAAATATTGCGCTTTGAGAAATGTATAAAAATTAAAACTGTTATTTTTTGACATTACGAAAGTATAATTTTGTTCTTCTTACGCTCTACAGCCGATTTCCGGCCTCAGTCAGCTTCTGCTATCTTGGCTCGGCCAAACGCCACAAGCCTCCACTTTGACATCAATAGTCTTTAGCCACTTTTCCACATTGTCTTAGTTGCGAGGTTTAATAACTTTTATTATACTTTACTCTCTAAATTTTTGCTGTAATTCAAAATTATATCTTATTCTCCACACTCTATTTTCCCTTGCGGCTCCAAAAATTCTTCTCAAAGTCTTTTCTTCAAATGTCATAACTTTATCCTCATCTGCTTTGTTCACTGTACAGCATTCACTAGTCCGTAATTTAGTCCTTAATTTTTTTCACCTTCATTTCGTCTAATAGATAGACGTTCACTTATTTGTCAACCTGACCTCTTCTTAACTGTTAATTCTACAAATTATTATCATTACACGCGATCACACAATTTGATATTTATCTCTCAACTTATGATATTACAATGCTTTTAGCAAATTGAATGATTTAAATGCAATACACGTACTTCTTAATAAGATAATTAAAGCTTTAGCGTAATTAATAAAGCATGTTTCTAACAATGTATATTATGTGCCTCTTTTACAAAATTTTATTTTTTGTTTCTGAAATCTAAACTGCTTATTAGTCCAAAGGGGCAATTTGCTCTGACGGACTATTATTTTTGTTTTGGCGTTTCGCGTTGAAATCTTTAAAAGACTGTGTCACTTTTCAAATTGTTGCCACCAAATATTATTTCCCTGTTTTACATTTAAAGAAATCAAATAATTAAGAATCTGCATAAATATATGTATGTTTCTTGCAATGTGATAAAACAAGGGTACCTAGAGCCATCCAATTTTGAATAACGTATATTTCCACCCCCGAATATTGGCATCTGAAATCCCAAAATTGGAATTTGAAATTTCTTTTATTATCTGTTTCATATTTTATAAAACTTTAAGGAAATTCTTGATTAACAAACTCAACGATTTCAAAGCGAGTAATGGCAACACTCTACGGGGGTAGAAAAAAAACCTTTTTATCTCCAGCGCGCGAGACGGTCTATCGGAAATTCTAAAGATATGCTCATTTTAAAACTATTTTGCGATAATGCTGCTGAACTGAATTTTATGGTTTAAGAACAGAGAATGTGCTATTTAATATATAAATGTAACACAAAATGCTGAAAAACGCCCCTTTGGAAGTAACTTAAAATCTGAAACCTTTCAGATTTGTGTGTGCGTGTGTCTTTTTTCAAATATAAAATAATCAAAGGAAGCAAATTGTTTTTAAATGATAGTGTATTAAACAGCATAATAGATGATGGTTTTCATTATAAAAAAAGATGGTTTATTTCAGTATTTCAGTCATTGAATGTAATGCTACAATAATGCTATACATAACTAATATTAAGGTAAATAAAAAATGAGAGTTTATAAATTTTTGTCACTAAAAATATTTTGCTTTTTATCAATTTCTGAAAACGGTTTGACCCAGCAGTTTGACACCAGTTTGTTCTTATGCAGTGACTTAATTAAATCTTATGCGCACTAAAATCTGCATCCACATTTAAATCCGACTTCAAATCTGTATTATGGCACTAGTTCAAATTAGACCATCAGAAAAACTCAGCTTTTCTTACACACATCCTGGAGTAGTTTTAAATATACTTAAATATAGGTACAAAAGTAGCTATATTACATTAAATTTAAATCATGACGTCATACGTATACGTATTAACTTGCAGCATCCAAAGTTTTTGTTTCCTAGTTTGGCAACAAAAAAAAAATTATTTATGAATTGGTTGTTGCTTAAAAAGAATTAACTGATTTCACTCATACTGAAATTGTTTTATGGACTTTCTTTTCAGGTGTACATAGAACTCATGAATTTTGTTTTGGTCGCAGCAAACAACTTTGTATACAGTTCATTAAATTAATAGTTCAATTTGTCTTCAGTTTCGTACATAGAACTTATAGATATTGCTGCTTATTCATATGCCTCTACGTATAATATTACCTTTGTTATTGCGAAGTTTAGTTTCTCTAAATTGGCAACAAGGAAAAACGTAACCAAGTGTTCATTTATATGTGGTATCCCTAATGTCTTCTTATTATTGTGAATTAAATTATGCTTAATTCATTCTGTAATTATCATTTAAGTTATTAAATTATTATATGTATTGACTCAGCATAGCGTCCACAACAGACCGTAAACCCGCTAATAATTTTAATATTTTCTGAATGTTAAAAAAATTTGATGTTTAAAATAGAAAATTACAACCGAAGTTTTAAAGTTCTGATAGAAAGATTTCAGCGTGTAATCTATCATTAGAAAAATGAAGAGTCAAGATTAATGTTTATTTGAAATTCACCAACTGAAAATTTTCGGGCACCGGGCCATAAAATAGAGCCAAATTTTTAAATGCGAATGAATACGAAACGGCTTGAAAGATTTTTACGAAATTTGGCATTTACGCGTAATTTTAGGCATAGAGCTGAATTATGGAAAAAAATTATCGGCATATAGTCTAAGTCATACTTTTGAGACATAAAAAATGCACATTAAAATTTGTCGCTCAACCAATTAGAGCGGGAGATATGGAATTGTCTTCCCCCCCCTTACCTGATTCACTACATACATAGAAATTGCAAATATTTTTAAACTGGTAAAGTAATAATTTAGTAACAACTCCAACATTGATGGTATTTCTAATATTCCGTATAATGTTATTACTATATTTTATTACTATATTTTCGATATTTTCCCGGGATTGAGAATGGATTAATGCTCCACCAGCAGCCGAGCGGTAAAGTCTCTGAACACTGGTAGTTCGACTTGGATTCGGTTCTAGACGAACAAGCTGATTATATTGCCGCTTTCATGGTTTACCCTGTGTGTGATCTGGATTCGTGCCAGTTTCCTTTAAAAAAATCTTTCACTTCCCGATTTCCTTAGGCAAATAACCCTAGCGGGCTTTATCGTAATAAGATAAACTGAACCAACCAAACCACATGAACAGTCTCCCGCATAAAGATAAACATCGGGAAGTGGGTAACGTTTGTTATCTGAAGCATCACTCTACATTTTATGTAATACATTGCTCTCCAAAAGTTAAGAAACATCATGTTTTTTGTATCTAATTTGAGAATGAAGTAACATAAGAAACAAGAAAATTAGAAGATATGTTCACTAAAACAGTTCTTTAATGAATGCGAAGTATAATGTTTCTAAAGTTCAACACAAACATGAATTACAACAAAAAATTGCACTCTTGGCAGAGAAATGCAGTCTAAGAGAAACAATACATCACAGTTTTTTGAGAAAAAATATGGTTGTAACATTACCAAAACGGGTTTTAACAAAGAATGTGTCTACCCAT